ACGAGGGATGCCACCATTATGGGGAGCGACTTTACCAGCTCTGCTACAACACCTGCCAGAATCTGTTTTGAATTTCCACCTCAAGGGCTAACTCTGTATCATTCATAGCTTTCACTAATCTTTTCTAAAACTATGCTGAGATGTGGTGTCTTCTAGAAAAATGTGGACCAGTGGACTGAGGCTGATGAGAGAGCCGCAGCACAGTCTGTGGATTTTTTTCTTTTTCAGTGACTTCACTAGGCACCTTCACGGCCCTAGGGAGAGCCTGGGAATGTTGGAGATGCACTCCTGTCAGACGTAAACCTCACCTTCACCTTTGTTCTACCCTCGAAATTTCCCAGCAAAATCAGTGACTTTCACCAGAGGCAGGATTAGCTCAAATGTTGGACCATTTTTAGTTGAGAAACTTCTAGTAAATACCAGTAAATACCAGCAGCCAGACCTTTAGTTACAGTTAGCACATCGAATGTCCTAATTTTCTCTGGGGTCTGTGGTGATAAGAAGGGACTATTTGTGGCTGTAGGAGAAAGGTTTGGGGTCAGAAAACACTGTTAACCAGAACCTGGCTTTTCTTTTTCCCTCTCCTTTTTGCCTTCACAAACTCATTACTTGGGGCTTGCCCTCCTATATCAAGACCTTCAGACCAAAGGCAGGGTGAACAGCTACCAGTTTCCCAGTTGGGTAGCTCAGCTCACCCAGAACAAACCCACACATTCAGGCAAGACCAAAAAAAAAAAATCTTGTTTAAGGCAGGAGACTCCTATCAGGATGTCATACACCCATGTCTGCTGTGTGTATTTCCTGTGTCCGGAGCCTCTCCACCTGCTGGCTCTGCTCTCCTAAATTTCCACACCCTGTTGCCAACTTATAATGACAGAGGCAGTAGGCAGCTTGGTGGCAGCATCAGAGCCCAGCCCATATGTGGGCACATGCTTTACAAAGGGAACCAAAGTCAGAAGGTCTCCCTGCAGGCCTGCCAGCCTCCACAGTGGCATGCGCAGACCATCAGGAGCCTGGAATTAAATACCCTAAGAACCAGGTCTCTAGCACTAACATTATCAACTTCATCAAATACTTCCTCTTTGAGTGGTGTCTGCAGAGAAATAAATAAATCAAGCTCTTCCAAGCTCTGTTCCCACCCGGCTCCGGAGTCAGAAGTCAAATTTGAGTTGAATTATCTGGAGCGCCAGCTCACCTCCCTCCTTGTTCCCAAAGCTCTGGGCAGGAACGAAGAGTGAAATCTCTCCAGGACGTGACGTCAGTTCCTCTCTTACCCTTGGCAGGAGAGTTCTTCCTCTCATAGTCTCCTCAGCCTTCCTCCGGCCTGCCTTGAGTCCACACCCACACACTGAGCCTTGCTGCCCAGCACTTCAAAGAGAACCTGCAGGTAACCAGATTACTGGCCAACGCCTGTGTCCTTTGTGAAATTTATAAGACAGGAAATGGATTCAGGAAATGGGATTTCTCAGTACATGGTCTTTATCATCCTTAAGTATTTTTAAACCTTAATAAGCTTTTAAGTAAAGAGAGACATTCTGGAAATGGCATCTGGCAGAATATATATGGAAGTTTAGAATGAAGTTATCTTATGGTTACTTATAATGGTCCTGTGCTGTGACAGATGAAAAATACACCATGGACAAAAAGATAGATTTGCTTGGATGGGTATCAGAATTGAGATCTGTGTTAGCTATGGGAAAGAGACTCATTCCCCAAAGATGGTGGATCATTCCTGTCAGACTTACGTTAGCCATTGAAGTCAGCCCCATTGGCCCCGCCAGTTGCCTGGAAACATTTATATGCGCTTGGGTTGAAGTGGGGACGTTAGTACTTGAAACACAAATCTATATTCTTGCAAGCTCAATAAGCATGTTACCAAAAAGATGTGTTTTTTTTTTAATGATGGAAAACATTAAAACTATATAGAAGAGGGGAGAACTGTGTGCTGAAACCACCATACAGTAGTCCTGTTTTGGTTACCAGCCAGTCGTTTCCTCTGTTGCCCTCACTAATAGCCCTCACATCATCTCGGGTTGTTTTAAAGCAAATCCAGCCCACGTCTCGTGGTATGTGCCCAAATGTGTCATGATTTCAGTGTCAGTGTTGTCATTTCGTATTGCTTCCTCCCTGTCACACGTATCATGTTAGTGGTCACATTTTCCCGATATTCTCATAATATTTTGTCATTTGAGGCAGAATCCAAGCAAGGCTCTTGTACACTGCAAATGATGGCAGTGTCTCCTGTTATATCTCTTGTAATCTAATGATTCTTAGCCAGCCCTTCTGGTGTGTTTGAATGGTTTTTTTCTATCCACTTTAAGGAGGTAGCCATATCAGTATAACCTTTCTCCTATGCTTAAAAAACAAGTTGATTATCTCTTGCTTAAACCGAGTAGGATCAGAATTGTTTCAGGTTTCAGATGTTACAATATGTGCGTATATATAATGAGACTTCTTGGAAGTGGGACCCAAATTGGAACACTTGATTAAGTTATAGTCCATACTCAGCTTATTCACATTATAACCTAAGGATAGTGTTTTAATTATTTTTTAAATTTATTTATTTTTACTGAAAAGTCAGATTTACAGAAAGGAGGAGAGACAGAAAGATCTCCTGTCTACAAGTTCACTCCACATGTGGCTGCAACAGCCAGAGCTGAGCCATTCTGAAGCCAGGAGCCAAGGAGCTTCCTCCAGGTCTCCCATGCGTGTGCAGGGTCTCAAGGCTTCGGGCCGTCCTCGACTGCTTTCCCAGGCCACAAGCAGGGAGCTGGATGGAAAGAGGAGCAGTCAGGACTTGAACTAGCACTCAAAAGGGATCCCAGGCATGCAAGGCAAAGATTTAGCCACTGAGTCATCATGCCCTATCTTACATTTCATTTCTGTCAGACATGTCTTAGCTGTTCAAGGCTATCACACTGGGCCCTGTTATGTATTTTTATAACTTTTTAACGTGAAATAAGGTACATAGAAATGTTTTCCCGTTGCAGCAGCATATTGGTGTTCAGAAGTGTGAGCTGTTAGAACATTTCAGATTTCAGTCTTTCGGTTGCTCCCAAGATCTCTTCTTGAACCCTGAGTTCCAGGTGTGATGTGCCCCACTGTGGCCTCCTCTGTGTTCATCCTGCACACCATTTGCTGAGCGGCTTGGAGCTTCAGGTTGAGAACTGGGAACAAGCTAGCCGTTATTCCTTCCATTTTTCTCCTACCCTGTTATTTCCATACATTTCTTCTTGGACGCTATTGGTATGTGTATTTACCATGTGATATTGCTCTACAAGTTCTAGGATTTAATGTTCACATGTAATTAACTATTTAATGAATTTATTTATGTCTTCAAATGACCAACCCATGCTTCCTTCATCTCACTCTGCTATGAAGTCCCACCCAATTCAGTCTTGCATTTTTAGATACTCTACTTTTCAGCTATAGAATCTTCATTTTTTTTTTTAACATTTTTTTCCCCTTTTTTTACTTGAGAGACAGAGGGCACGACCATCTGCTGGTTCATTCCAGATTCATTCCTGCAGTGGCTGGGGGTGTGACCAAGCCTGAAGCTGGGAGCCAGGGACCCCAGCCAGATGTCCCTCAGTAGTGGCTGGAAACCATCAGCCCTGCGGTCAAGGGTCTGCGTTAGCAGGCAGTTGGAGTTGTGTGTTAAACCCATCTACCCAGGAGTGAGACAGAGGCATTTTCATTGGTGGCCTACATGTCTACCCCTTGATTTCTTTATTGACAGCTGCTTTCTGTTACCATTTGTGATGATCACTTCCTTTAAAATAGCTAACATGAATGAGTTCAAGTACTTCAAGTCCTGTTTTGATCATTGTCACATCTAGGCTATCTTAAGGTCTGTTTCTGTGGGTTGCCTTTTGTCTTGATTACAGGATCCTGTGTGTGTGTGTGTGTAAGATTTGTTTTTATTGGCAAGGGAATGTGTTTTTTGCATAGGCAGTGTCTTCATGGACAAAGATGGCATCTTTGACTTGCTTTCCCTAGACCATGAATAAGAACAGGGACCAGCAAGCATGCCCGCATCTTTGATGGGAGGATTCGGAGAAGTGCTGTGGCCGCAGAAAGCTCCCTTTTCTCAGGCAGGACACCTGTCCTTCTGAGCTCACCAAGGATCCCTGGAGCCACGTGTGCACTGCTGTGCCCCCAGAGCTGTTTCTGGTGCTGAGCTGTGTGCCCTTGTGATGTTGTTCCTACTCGCATGTCACCCTCTGGAACCTTCGAGTGGGATGGGTAGAGAGATGCCGCCCCTAGCTGTGCACTGAGCACCTACACGCTCCTGAAGGTGCTTTCAGGCACAAGATTGTCATTCTGTGAGTTAGCACCACTGTTCATGCTGAGGGCAGGTGTGGCGTGACTCTGTGCCCCAGTTTTTAAGTGCACAAGTAACAGATATTGTAATGAGTACACAGGTTCTAGAATTTCACCAGCATCTCTTTTCCAGTCCTCTAACTGGCTTTCCGACCCTGGCAAATGTTTTCTGCCTCAGTTTTATCATCCATAAAATAGAGGTGCTAATGATATCTCCTGCTTCGATGTGCTGTAAGTAAAATTCAATACCTGGAACCCAGGATTTGTAACATTGACATTACAAGCAACACTTTGTCCTGGAGCTAGAGAACATGAAAGTTTGCTTATGAATGGAAGTCAGAGCACCGAGAGAAACCCCTAAAATCCTCCCCGGTTGGACCGCCATGTGGAAGCATCGAGGGAAAAGGCACTCAGCGGGGAAAGTGGGCTTCACTGGCTGCTCAGCCTCTGCTGGGATGGAGGAAGGTTTGTAGGCATTCCGGTCTGTGGCTGGAAATGAATATCAAGTATGTTTACTTTCATTTCTTTTTTAAAGCAGTGAAACAGGCACTTTGTATCCCAGGAAAATGGGGCTCCGTGCACACATGCCCGCCCCACTGTTTATGGCCTTTGGAGCCACACTGAGGTCCTGTCCCACCGAGTCCCAGGATCTGACGGTCTCTCCCTCCACCCTACAGATAACTGTGTCCAGAGGACCCCCAGGCCGTCCGTGGAGAATGCGCACCACAACCCTCCCACCATTGAACTGTTGCACCGCTCTAGGTCACCCATCACGACGAACCACCGGCCTTCTCCCGACCCCGAGCAGCGACCCCTCCGGTCCCCCCTGGACAACATGATCCGCCGCCTCTCCCCAGCCGAGAGGGCCCAGGGACCGAGGCTCCACCAGGAGAACAACCACCAGGAGTCCTACCCCTTGTCAGTGTCTCCCATGGAGAATAATCACTGCCCACCGTCATCCGAGTCCCACCAGAAGCCATCCAGCCCCCGGCAGGAGAGCACACGGGTCATCCAGCTGATGCCCAGTCCCATCATGCACCCCTTGATCCTGAACACCCGGCACTCCGTGGATTTCAAACAGTCCAGGCTCTCCGAGGACGGGCTGCACCGGGAAGGGAAACCCATCAACCTCTCGCATCGGGAAGACCTGGCCTACATGAACCACATCATGGTCTCTGTGTCCCCTCCTGAGGAGCACGCCATGCCCATTGGGAGAATAGCAGGTGAGTCTGCCCATCTCCCCTCACCCCATGTCAGCGTCAGGCAGCCTAACAAAGCCATGTCGTCTCCTTAGAGCCCCACACCATTTGCTGCCTGCAAAGGCCCTAGAAGAGCAAGTGGAGACTACCATCTGAATGAGGCACACTCCCTAATGGTCTGGTTAATGAGCCTACTAGGATGGAGTAGTTAATGAGCCTCAGAAATGTTAAGAAATGTCCTACATCCAGCTTACAAGGAGAGTCACATCAGAACCATGGCGAGGTGAAAACATTGGAAATAAAAGGTTTATGAGCATGCTAACAGCCCTGTCCAGAAGTTTCCAGCAGCTAATTAATGACCAGACACAGCATAAAGGACCTATGTCTCAGACTCAGCCCTGTAATTCCATCCTATGGGCAGGACTCCATGGAGCTTCACCTTGAGGGGGAGGAGAGGAAAACTGGATGAGGAGGTTGCAGACAGGTGCTGCTGGGGCATCTGGGCAGAGCAAACCACTCCCAAATTCTTGCTAGGATGACAGGCCCAAGTCTGCTTGCCCAAGATGAAAAAACAGTGCCAACCAGGGAAATAAAACCCAGCCGAGGCATTTTTGCTTGTCTGCCATGCCATGGTTTACATGAGGTCATTCTGCCCGATTCTCTAACCATTTGGCATGGCTAACTTCTTTCCCCTCACAGGTTATTTGTTGCACACTGGTATGTACAAGCAAATGCTTTAATTCTGCAACTGTCCTAACACACAATGTCTGTTATTCACGGGTTTGGGAATTTAAGATGAATTGTGTCATCGGTTCAGTGCAGAAGCATGCATTGAGCACCTGCTGTGTGCCAGAATGTGCCACGGAAGCAGCACAAAAGGCAGGTGCGTTTTGACTATAGGAACCGAAGGTGGCTTTTCTGGAGTGACAGTTTGATACCCGGTGGTTATGTTGCAGTAACTGGCAGAGGTCTGGAGGTAGGAAAAAGACTGCCCAGGGGAAGGCAAGGCATGCCTCTGCCTCCAGGAGCAGATGCCCCACTGTTCACAGCAGCAGGTACCCTGCAATGGCCTCCGTCCACCTCTGCACCTTTGCTAGCTTTTTCTCTGGCCCCCAAGTGCACCTCCAATATTGCTTGCATTAAAAGTAACTTAAACGAGATGTATTTTTAAAAGCCTAATGAAAAATAACAAAGAATCTCATAATTCATGGAGGAGTGGAATTAGAAGATAAACTTTGAGTAAGTATTTTTGCACAATCTGTAGTTTTAAAAATACTTTTATTTTACAAAGTTCTCATGAACTTTTGAAATATTTCTTACATGTTTGGAAATAAATTCAAAATGGTCGCAGGAGTGGTGGGTGTGGGTGAAGGATGGGATATACAGTTGAGAAAGATTAACTGAGCTAACTCAGGGTCATGTTAGTGGGCTGACTGATGCCTGGGTGGTTACATTATTGTCTCCACAAACAGATTTGTAAACATAATTGTTCGATTGAAGTTCTACAGATACGGTTACTGGTTTATAATTCTCAAGACAGTTCTTAGAGGTGGCTTAGTACTGCTTAGATTTGTTGATTTGTGGAAGGGTTTTTTTTTTGGAACAGGGAAACCACAGAAGCAGCTGGGTCTAAGAAGGACAGGCCTCTGCCGAGGAGCAGAAAGGGGGTTGAGTGGCGCCTGCGAGCTAGTCCTTGCTGCCCACTTGGCAGCTGTCCACAGTACTGCCATCCAGGGCTCATCATGATGCCTCCTGTCCACATTCCACCCCCTGTCCACGCCGTCTTCACCACAGACTTCTTGGGAAGCTAAGAGAAGCCTGTAACTTGAGAATGATAAATTGTTTAAAATTAGCGTATTCCATGTTAGCCTTTTAAAACACCCTTTCTTTCAGTGTTGCCCCTCAACAATCAGCAGTGTTGGATGAGCTGCAGTCTCTGGAGTTGAGTCCATACAATAGGGTACCAATCACAGGAGGAACCTGGGGACCTAGGGTTACCCTCCCTGGACAGTAGCAAGAGCCCTGGGCAGTCAGCAGATACCGGTAGACCAGCCCCTGGTCCAGGGCTTCTGGAGGAGAGGAGTCCTTCCCTGTTTTCATGGTACATTCCAGATCTCCAGAGGGCTGGGTGAACTCGTCAAACCCAGATCCTGCAGAAACGAGAACCTGCAGTTCTGCCATCTACCATGACAACCATCTGTTTTGAGGGTCTTTGCTTCTTTGGGCGTGCCCTGGTCTCTCCACCCCAAACCCACCACTTTGTTTCTGGATTTTTCAGATCCTTGTGAACTTGATTCTGTGCACCAAAGGCACTCGCCCTCCAATGAACAACGTTATCTCATTGGTGACTGTTCTGGGGAGTCGAGGGTCTCTGAAGCAGCTCTCAGGACAGGTTTGCCCCTTCAGGCTTTTTTAAAGAAGCACATTCGAAATGGAGGTGCTGCAGCCTGCACCGTGATGAGGGCATAGCCCTGCAGGGCGCAGGGGCAAACACTGCTCAAGAGTGTGGTCAGAAAACCAAACCCCAGTCTCACCCTCCGGGCATATGAAAGGGCTCTAAGATAGTCCCAGAAGATGAATGTTTATAAAAAAAGTATGCTTGGATTTCAATTTCTTTGCACCAAAGTAAGCATGTTTTAATTCCATTTTCAGATTTTTCTGAAGATGTATTTGAAAGGCAGAGTTAGAGAGAAGACACATCTTCCATTAGCTGGTACTATACCCAAATGGCCACAATAGCCAAAGCTGAACCAAGCCGAAGCCAGGAACCTGGAACTCTGTACAAGACACCCATGTGAGTGGCAGGGACCCAAGTACTTGGGCCATCTTGTACTGCTTTCCTAGGCACATCACCCAGCGAATCAGATCAGAAGCAGAGTGGTTGGGACTCTAATTAGGACTGTCACCAACAGCGAGCTTAACCCACTGTACCACAATGCTGGCCCATTTTTTGTGGAGCTTTTTTTAACCTGATAATTTCCTCAGACACAGTAGGATTTAGGCCTTCAGTACCTTCCTTGTTAAGGCACTGCTCTGCATTCTTACGAGTAAGAGCAGGCATAAGTATGTCTAAGTCTATCGTGGAAGAGCTTATCACAGTTATCTATGGAAAATGCATGCTACATCTTTAAGAACCACAGATCAGAGAGTAGACAAGCAGAAATTAGAGATGGGTCTGGTGCAGTGGCTCAACAGGCTAATCCTTTACCTGTACTGCCAGCATCCCACATGGGAACTGGTTCTAGACCTGCCTGCTCCAATTTTGATTCAACTCCCTGCTTATAACGTGGAAAGGCAGAGAAGGATGGCCAAATGTTTGGGCCTTTGCACCCATGTGGGAGACATAGAAAGAACCTCCAGGCTCCAGATCAGCTTGTTTCGGCTCCAGGCATTGTGGCCAATTGGGGAGTGGACCAGCACATGGAGGAGCTTCGTCTGTCTCCTCCTCCTCTATAAATCTGCCTTTCAAATAAAAATAATTTTTTTTAAAAAAAAAATAAAGGAATTAGAAACCAGGAGCTCATTCCAGATGGAGAACATTTCCAGAAGCAAAAGCAAGGTAAGCCACAGTATTTTTATTTCAACAGTCCAGGTCAATTAAAAATGCATCTTTTTAAAAATTCCTTTTTCTTTTTACTATGACTGATGTTGGAATGTATCCTACTGTTAACTGCAGGCAAGGCAGTGTCCTTAGGCATTTACTATGTGGAAAACCAAAAGAGTCAATAAAGGAAATTCAGTAGGCACTTGATAACTACAGACTATAACTCAGATCTGGGTACAGCATGTAGTTCACTTGCAGAGTTGCTGCTTTTCAAAGACAAGACGTGGCATGGCTAGCCTTTAAGGGACAGCGCTGAGGCTGACGGCAAGAACCCTGAGTCTGGTGTGCTGACTGGCCAGTGGGCTAGGGAGCAGTGAGCAGCTTGCTGCTCTATGCAGTGTTTGCAGGAAAGGACAGCCGAGAGGGCAGAGGCATCTCAGCCTTCTAAAACTTTTTTCTACCTGCCGAAGTTTTACTGGCCTTGGCCTGGCTTCCATGCCTATGGCTTACAGCCAGAGGTCCCCTGGCGCTGAGCACTTCTCCGAGGAGGAGGTGCCGTGCCAGTGCTGCCAGGAGTCATGTCCACAGTGGACACTGGCCTCTCATTGGTCCCGAACTCCTTGAGTGAATGCCTGTGTACAATGGGAGACCCCTCCTGGGGTTTCATTTTTCTGCAGTCAACTCCAGTCTGAAAATAGCAATCATTGCTGTTTTCCACCTAAAAATCTGTACTATAGTATATTTTATATTATTATTTGTTAATTTCTACTTTTATTACCACAGGTAGGATATATGCACAGGTGTATGCATACAGATTTCTATGTGTATATAGATTACATATATTGTGTGTATATTATATATTATATAATGTATATATATATTATATAATGTTTATATATTATATAATGTATACTATATAATATAGTATATATGTATGTACATATATGTACTACATAATATATATGTATATACTATATACTAATACTAATATAGTATATATACTATAATATATGTATATATACTATATGTATATTATATAATGTATATTATATATAACGTATATATTAATGTATATTATATAATATATAATGTATATTATATAATATATGGTGTACATTATATATTTACACAGAAATATACACATATAATATATATACACACAGAAAAAATACATTTCCTAAAGTACATTTAATTCCATGGAAAAATGGAATTAAAATGTTATTTTGGACCAAGAAATTTTGAAATCCATGCATACAAGGGGTCCTCTGAACATTCATGACAAATGCTTATTATGAAAAAGCACTAAATACATTTCAAACCTTTTGCATCAGAAGCAGCTTACCTTTAAGCTTCATTATCCGTGAACTTTTCCAAAGTACCCGCATAGTGCTCAGTGCTGCTCCTCTTGGTTGTCCTGGCAGCCCCCGCGGCTCTCGGAAGACATCCCCTGTGGGTAAGCAGAGGCCGCGTCTGTGGAGAG